GTTGTGTTGCGAAATCGCCATTGTTATTGTGTATACTGTATGGAGTTTCGCTCGTGATTGTCACTTGTAACTGTCAGAAACTTTGATCGTCATTGTTGCCAATGTACAGACCGTATGGAGCTTTGCTTGAAATTGTTAACAGTGTATGGACTGTTGGGTACTTGCTGGTGATTATTTACTATGTACGGATTGTCTGGAGTATTGATTGTGTGTGTTGCCATGTGGGGACTGGATGGAACATTGCGCCAAATGATTGACTGTACGAACTTCGTATACTGCATATACTGTATTAATCAATTCGGCGATTCTCGGCGTTTGTGTATAGTTTTTTTTAATTCGAATGCCCTGAGTCCCATGGTTAATGTTGAAGGGGATTTTGAAATTACAGGTTCGGTTTGTTTCAAACTCACTGGTTGGTTCCTGTCCGTTGTTGCACAGATGATGTCTTTTGTGCGGGAATGCTCCTTGTGTTCTACATGGATCGGGGGTGCGTTTCCGTTAATTGCCGTCAAATTGCGTTGCTCTCTCCACTCGGTTGGTACAGCTGCATTGCTGCAATGCGAGTCTCGGAGATGATGTGTACGGATACGGGATGTGAGGTGTATTGTTGTGACCATTGAATATTCGGGATCGTCACAAATTGTGCGTACCTGTTCGGCATTGGATCAGTTCTGTGGGGGATCATAATTCAAATTGTATGTGTTGTGATGGTGTTAAATTGCGATGGTGACATGCTGCCAGGGATTTGGAATTGTGGTGCTGGCTGTCACTTATCTTGGGGCGCAGATCCTGACCAGGATGGCCCAGTGAGTGTTGCGTGTCTAACATGAACGTTGTGGTCCCGTCATGCAATGGCTGACGGCTTGACCTGACAGCCCGGAGATTGAAACACTCCGTGGTATGTCTAGCCTAGTGGGCTGTGTGCTCACATGGCTCGGAGAGTGTGGTCCCGTCATGCAATGGCTGACGGCTTGACCTGACAGCCCGGAGATTGAAACACTCCGTGGTATGTCTAGCCTAGTGGGCTGTGTGCTCACATGGCTCGGAGAGTGTGGTCCCGTCATGCAATGGCTGACGGCTTGACCTGACAGCCCGGAGATTGAGACACTCCGTGGTATGTCTAGCCTAGTGGGCTGTGTGCTCACATGGCTCGGAGTGTGTGGTCCCGTCATGCAATGGCTGACGGCTTGACCTGACAGCCCGGAGAGCGAGACACTCTGTGGCTTGTCTAGCCTTGTGGGCTGTGCGCTCACATGGCACAGGGAGGGTGGTCCCGTCATGCTATGGCTGACAGCTTGACCTGACGGCTCGGAGGTTGAGACCCTCTGAGGCGCGTTGAAACAGTGGGCTGGAGATTCGTAAGGTTCGGGTGGAGTTGGCCTGTTACGTTGAGACTGTTTCCCTCAGTTGTTAGGGTGCATGTTGTGCAGTGAGTGAACGATGGGTCGTCTCAGCTCGGTCGGTACAGCTATATGCTGCGATGCGTGTCTGGGAGAGAGACTGGGTCGTCTCCGCTCGGTCGGTACAGCTATATGCTGCGATGCGAGTCTTGGAGAGAGACTGGGTTAAAATCCCACCGATATGGCCGACGTGTGCTACTGGTTGTGACGCCGCGTCGGAAAGGCGGTGGGGTGGTAACATGGAAATTCCCCCCCCGATATGGCCGACGCGTGCTACTGGTTGTGACGCCACGTCGGAAAGGCGGTGGGGTGGTAACATGGAAATTCCCCCCCCCCGATATGGCCGACGCGTGCTACTGGTTGTGACGCCACGTCGGAAAGGCGGGGGGGTGCTAACGGGTGACTGTCATTGCATGCGTGATTCTAACGGGGGGGGGGCTGTGCTGTAGCGTAAGTGGGTTAGCCAGTTTTCATGTATATTTGTTGTTAATTCCCCGTTTTCTATGCGGTTCCCTTTTACCCTCGTCGATTATGTATATATTACGTGATTGTATTTCTTATCGGTCGCCGGTCATTTATTGATGTTGCTGGTTCAGAGGCACACCTTTTCGATGTTCACAGTTGTGTTACAGCCGGGGACGGCTGTGTGTTTATACAGGGGGGGGGTGTGATGTAGTGACAGAACGGTCACTACTGTGTTGGCCCGTACGAGGGCTGGGGGCCCCAAGGGGGTGCCTGGGGGGTCACGTGCTGGAGGGATCCGGACCTTCCCAGAGGTGGGGGAAGTGAGGCGTGGCCTGGGAAGTGAGGCGTGGCCTGGGAAGGGAGGCGTGGCCTGGGCGGAGCCGGCCACGCCAGAGAGACGAGATATAAGCGTGGTGGGAAGGCAGAGCAGGGCTGTTCCTGAGAAGAATGAAGACACCTCGTGAAGATGCCAGAAGAGAAGACCTACAGTGAGCGGACTGCCAGCAACCACCTGGCTGGGTCACGCTGGAGCGGCTAAAATACAATTGTGTGTTAGCTAGTGTAGGTCGGTGGTCACCACCCTATGTGTAGAGTAAGAGTAACTGTTGAGTAAACGTTGTGTTAATTAATAAATGAGTGTTGCCTCCCAAGAAGTGTGTGCGCCTAAATTGAACCCATTACACTTGCGAAGGAACAGCTTAGATGGACTGGCCACGTGACCAGAATGCCCTACGCGAGACTTCCAAAACAAGTCTTCTTTGGCAAGCTGAAGAATGGAAAGCGAGCACAAGGTGGCCCCAAAAAGCGCTACAAGGACACCCTTAAAGCTTCCTTGAAGAGCTTTGGATTCGAGCTGAAAAGCTGGGAACCCCTAGCACAGGACCGACCTGCCTGGAGAAGAAAAGTATAGGACGGTGCAGTCCTCTGTGAGAGTAGGAGAAGCTCCTGTGCTATCTTGAAAAGGCAGCAGCGCAAATCTACCAAGGAAGGACGTGTGGCTGCACCTCAGAGCTCTACATCCTCCCTGACCTGTCCAGTGTGCCACAGAGAATTCCGGGCTCGGATTGGCCTCTTCAGCCATCTGCGCACTCATCAAAACCCAACAAAATGACAAACGTGCAATGGTCATCATCAACTTTGATGGACGAACAAGAAGAATAAGGTAAAGGAGGTCTCAGTGTAAATGCTTACCCCGAGCTGTCAATACTCTGATAGTGTGCTGTCTTTGAGGTGTACGCCTTTTGGCGTCATCTGTTCCAACACCAATGGAGACTAGGCTCTAAGAAAAGCTGTCTCGGGTGTGGACCAATCAACTTCAAGGACAGTGCATATCATTATCATCATCAGAGTTGTTTCTTTTTGTTTGCATTTTGACTGCTTGTGTTGTGGTTATTGCAAACATGATGCCTTGTATAAAGGTGTCAGTTTTTGTACCAGTTGAAAGGGTAAAAACCTATTACTATATATTGCCACTGGTAAAGGAGGTCTCATAGTGTAAATGCTTACCCCGAGCTCTCAATACTCTGATAGTGTGCTGTCTTTGAGTTGTACACCTTTTGGCGTCATCTGGTCCAACACCAATGGAGACTAGGCTCTAAGAAAAGCTGTCTCGGGTGTGGACCAATCAACGTCAAGGACAGTGCATATCATTATCATCATCAGAGTTGTTTATTTTTGTTTGCATCTTGACTGCTTGTGTTGTGGTTATTGCAAACATGATGCCTTGTATAAAGGTGGCAGTTTTTGTACCAGTTTAAAGGGTAAAACCTATTACTAGTACTACTTATGCCTGTGCATTATGCAGGATTAGCAGCATCAAAGGGAGGGGATATGGGAAATGCAGGTATGTGATTAGTACTACTTATGCCCGTGCATTATGCAGGATTAGCAGCATCAAAGGGAGGGGATATGGGAAATGCAGGTATGTGATTAGTACTACTTATGCCCGTGCATAATGGTATGGTGTATAATAACAAATAGTATACAATTTATATGCTTAATACAATGTACAAAGTAATATATAGTATCGTAATTGTATAGTGCATATACAGCAGTGTGCTATACATTAGGGTGGGTAGAATAATACATAGTGTAATATTACAATGTATAAGGTATTTGGTGGTTTATAGCAATACAGTATATAATTTAATGTTGGGTTTGGCTATGGCAGTATATAGTACGGTGTAGACTCGTGTGATGTAAGAGAATAAAGTTTAGATGGAAGCATATTATATTTTTTACGACGTAGAATTGTAATGTATTACTTACTGTTAGTAACTCAGCTTATTGTAGAGTATATTTAGTATACTGATGATACTATGTAGTTTATACTTTAGTTGTTTACGTGGTGGTTTTAGTTACTGCAGCTACATACTATTAACACTCCTTCCCTTTATTAATGCTACCCCTACCCCCTCCCTTTGATGCTGCTAATCCTGCATAATGCACGGGCATAAGTAGTACTAATCACATATCCGCATTTCCCATAAATATGCTAAATTCCTCTTGATATGCAAAGTCTTTTGTCAAGGCGCCCCTTTCCCCCCCCCCTCCAATCTAGCTTAAATATACGCTCCAAGCGTGGTGGTGTTTCATTCAGACGCTGTCGCCTCGACAGACCTGGTTTTTCACCTGAGGACGGCTGCTTGCGTTGTGGCCGAAACGTCGTGAGAATTATTTTATTATGTTTTATTTATTACTTCCCTTCTACGTGACTTTACCGAAAGAACCAAGAAGGACACTTGTTTATGATTATGAATGATGGGGGGCTGGCCGACTTGGAGTGACGTCACGCGCGTTACACACACGCATCCTTGGCTCATTATATTAGGTAATGCACTCAGAATTATATGAATCCAAATCCAGAGTCAATTGGGTTTTGACTCCATGCTAGGATGCGACCAATCCTAATCCGTGACTTGGAAATCCACGTATCTGGACGTCTGTGAAAAAGAGCTTCGTAGCTCATCAGATTCCTCCAGGATAAATAAACATTCTGACTCTGACCTCCCTGAGCGCGAGCGACTCGACCGTCGATTGGTCGCCCTGAGCGCGAGCGACTCGACCGTCGATTGGTCGCCTTGAGCGCGAGCGACTCGGCCGTCGATTGGTCGCCCTGAGCGCGAGCGACTCGACCGTCGATTGGTCGCCTTGAGCGCGAGCGACTCGGCCGTCGATTGGTCGCCCTGCTCTGCCATGGCGGACACGGAGCGGGTTGGTTTCGTGGTCGCGACCGAGGCGAGTGGCCGCTGGCGTGGGGGGACGTTTTCTCTCTCGGCGACTTCGCGCCCTCGCACGGACGCTGCTTGGCGCAGCCGTGCGGGCGCGCGTTTGGGTGAAAGTTTTGGGGCTCCCTCGCGCGGTCTTCAACGCCGAGAGTGGTCTGTGACGAGGGAGCGCGCGAACCCCGGCGCAGCTACAACGGTTGCGTAACGGCCTCGCGAGTCGTCGTCGCGTGGCGCTGCCGGGTGTCTGGAGCAGCAGCAGCAGCACCTCGCGCTGTTGTGGGCGGATGTTCGAGCCGTGGTCTGTGATCGACTTCGGGCCCGGCCCTGTGGCCCTTTCATGCTGCACTTACCAGCGTGGTGAAGTATGGTCGAACCCATCCCCATGACGCGCACATGGCATGGTGGTTGGGAAGGAAGCGGCGACTATGGCCAGGGTTTGTCAGTAGCCATGCTCTGTCCACTGCTGCAACAGGGGCGCCGCCGTCATCTTCGTGCTCCCTCCCTTAAGCGCAGTAGTAACAACAACAGCAGCAGCACCGCAATAATGATGACGCACTGGGCCTTATTGAACCACGAAGGAAATGACGTGTGGATTAAAGCAGTTTGTGTGTTACGGTTTTTTTTGTTTTGGTCGCACTACTTGCTCTCACCGAACGAGCTTGCCATACATGGCGCGTGGGTCAACGTGTAACTTTGCGTATTGGCAAGTACTGTACTTTTTGCTATTGCCACGACTTGTAAAGACATTATCTTTGGACGCTAATATGTAGGATTGAAGCAGCAATATTTTTGTTGGTGCCGTTACGTTTTATCTGACCGTGCAGTTTCTGTCTCAATTTCAGGAGGTGGATGCTGTAACAGGCAATGCGTCAAGAGAACATTTAGTAAGTGGAGTTGAATGTTGTGAGCAATGTTCTGTCATTTCCTCGAGGGGTGCATTGAACGCAACATTTTATGTCCTGCCAAATACCTGTATAGGTTCCGGCTGGTTCCAAATCCGAAAAGTAAAATCTTACCAGGTGTAGCTATAGGGGGATGTGAGCTATGAATGACAGATATATAGATAAGAGATGCCATGTATGCAGTGAGATGGGAGCTGTATATTCAATGAAGATGTAGGGCTGGGTATCAGCAGAGAACTATGGTTTTCAATTGAACTGGGTTCTCGTCGGGCATAACAGAGACGAACCTCTGGCAATACTTGATTTGTTATGCGTATTGTAGATCAGTGGATGTGAAAATTGAGCTCAAATGTTACCACCATTTACTTTGGCTCTCTACTCTCAATACGTTGTATTGTTGTGAAGAACGAGGACACCACATGGCTTGCCAATAGTTCTGAAACATGTGGACAGTAATAGGCTCTCACTATTAGACCTTGCTCCAAAATATGGCGCGTAAAAGGGATGTTTGTGATTCTGTGGACAGGTTGATATAGCCGTCAAATTCCTGAAAAATCCACGAGTGGCTGGAAGTCCTCCAAAGATACAGAGGGCGTTCCTACGCAAGAAAGGTGAGTGTCATGGGAGGCTCGGATGCGAGAACCCAGGGCCCATGTGGGGTTCTCCAGACCCTTGCCCTCCATGTGTACAACATTTGTAAAACCAGGACGTCTTAGGGTATGTACCATGAGTGGGGTTGCGATGGTGAGAACCGCCTTCCGAGATTAGGCGTCGAGACAGGTGGGGGGTCTGAGTTCACTTTTAATAGAGCTCACCCCTCCAGGATATTATAGATAGGGCAGAGTGCCAGCACAACCCGAATACTCTGCTCCACCTAACACACCGACGCAATTGCACTCGCAGATATACAATTACAAACTCGTGCTCAGCCAGCTTGGTACACAGGTTATCGGACACTAGCCCACGTATCAACTGTGTCAAATATGAGTAGCATCACGCTGGTTACCTCATGATTGCAGATTTATCCGTGCAAATACCTGTAGCCTGATGTTAGCATTACCTACATTTGTGGGTCAAATTGACTCGGTCTGAGACTAGGGAAGCCCCTAGACAACTAGCTGTGACTTCTGTACACCAGCTAGAAGTCCTGCTTACACAATTGCTCACCCCAAATTAGTTATAGGCACATTCAGTTCCACACCGTTCTGTGCAGCCATCACCATGTGCCTACAGTTACCACTCCTGTGTTCATCTATCAGTGAAACACCCACGGTTCATAACAAGCACTCTCAGTACCCTTAAGTACAGCTCACATGCCCACCTATGATCACAACGCTATGCCGCACAAAACTGTGGCTCCAGAGCCGCATTCGGCTCTTATAAGTGTAATAAAAGGACTCGAACACTTCTTTCTGTCTTCGTGTCTTTATTCAGGTTCACGTCTTTACCCACACGGCACTCTGTTATAACTCCTGTATTTGTAGCCCCCGGCTATTCACTGCTATTATAGCTTCCTCACCCCTCTGACTCTCTGCTTCATCTACTGTAACCTCCTCCCTGCAGACTTGCTGCTACCCCTATGTGCAGACCCTCTGGCTGTCACTGTATGCAGACCCGCTGCCCACTCTCTCTGTGCAGCCCCGCTGCTGACTGCAGCCTCCTTGCTGCTTCGGGTCGGTCACCGCTGGCCAACGGTGCCGATCCTCGCTTCCCCCGTGTTCGTGGCGATCTCGCCACACCCCGCTTCGCCCTACGTGGCCTTCCTCTGTTCCTGGCTCCCAGTCACTCCCTCTGCTCTTCCGGTTCCCCTCCTTCTATACTCAACCCCTCTCCCCCCACGTGACCTAACTCCTCCCCCCCTGACGGCACCTCAGAAGGGCCGTTTACAACCGCATTACATCACCCTCCCCCCTAAAGAAAATCCAGCCGACCTCGGCTGAATTGCAACCTGAAAAGCAATGCGGGTGTAAAGGGCCAACACGCAAAAAGACACGAAGCATTGAAGAACATTATAACAATAACACAACACAACACAATCTAACGAAACGTGAGGGATTTCGAGCGAGTACGGGTAGCCGGGCCGTCCCGGACGGTCGGCGGCCCACCCGCCGAGCGGGAACGTGGAAGGGTTTTAGGGGCGACGGGCGCAAGTTCTTCCGTCGCCATTGAAGGCCCGCCACTGTCCCGCTCGCGTCCAGAAACATCCCGTACTCGCGTCCGCGGAGGGATAGGAAGAGCTGCAGGTCCCGTGGGTTCTGCGGCTCCGGTCGGCGTCCCACAAGCGGAAGGTCCTCCTCCCTGCGCTGTCACGGCCGACTTGTCTGTGAAGGGTATGACAGGCGCTCTCGCAAGGTCAGCAGACACAGGCAAGGGCGAGTCGGCAGCAACAGACCCCGGCAAGGCAACTTGGGGAGATGACGCATCCGGCCGTGGGGCAATGTATGGCTTCAACCGGGACGTGTGCACGAACCAACGCCGCGCACCAACCTGAACACGCGCCGACTGTGGGTTGGGAACCTCAATGAGGCGGACCGGACCCTGCCAAGGTCGATGTAATTTAGGAGATGTACCTGGCCGCACCTGTGGGCAATGAAGCCAGGCCAGGTCCCCCTTTTTCCAGGGACACTCCCCCTTTGAACGTCGGGCACACCGCTCATTCCTGGCCTGAGCCTTGGCAGTAGCCATGCGGGCATTTTCCCTCGCCTCAGCGACACGCCGAACGTTGTCCTTAATATACTCAGGAAGAGGCTTAACAGGCCCCCTCGCACCGGTTCCCAACTGGTCATGAATCGGCGGCACGTTCTCACGGCCGTACATAAGGAAAAACGGCGAGTATCCAGTAGCCGCGTGCGGCGTCATGCGATACGCCGAAAGCACCCCAGGGATATGCAAATCCCAATCAGATTGGTTTTCCCCGACTGTATGGCACAGCATGGCGGACAGAGTCCGATTCAACCGTTCCACCATACCATCCGTTTGCGGGTGGTAGGGGGACGTCCGTATCTTTTTAGTTCCAAGAGCCGCACACACCTCCCCCAACAATTTAGACGAAAAGTTACGTCCCTGATCCGTAAGGAGCCTCTCCGGAGCCCCTTTGTCCATTACATACCCAAATAGAAAGGCGTCCGTGATAGACGCCGCTGACTGGTCAGGCAAGGGCCAGGCCATCGGCCAGCGAGAGAGGTACTCCACCCCCACCAGTAAATACTTATTCCCTTTAGCTGATGGCGGAAAGGGTCCCAAAATATCTAACGCCACCAACTCATTAACCCGAGATACTTTAATCGATTGTATCGGCGGAACATATGGATGTTTAGGCGGCTTACGGCGGGCACAATCGGGACACGCGCGAACGTGACCGACGACATCCGTCGTCATGCCGTGCCAATAATAGTCTCGTTGCAGCGTCAATAGGGTTTTCTGCACCCCCAGGTGTAAAAGTGTGTCACAGTGCAAAGATCGAATCAACTCATAGCGCAATGACGCAGGCACAACGAGACGCCAGTGTTCCTGTATCCCTTCCCTCCACATCAGTAACCCATCTCGGAGAGCAGTTTCCGAATTACCACCCGCACCGACTTCCTTACCCGCCTTCTCCGTTCGTTTCCGTAACGACACCAAAGAATCGTCCAACATTTGCTCCCGAATCCACACAGACCTTGGAAGACGCAAAATCCCGTCAGCCGGTCCCCCTTCAACCGGTCCCGGTGTAAGCGGAGGTTCGAGAACATCCACTGCCCGCGCGACAGGTTGAGGGGGGGGCTGAGCCGGTCCACACCTATGCGTCCCCGACGCACACGCACAAGGGGATTGTTGCGGCAACCTGGACAGTGCGTCCGCGTTAGCGTGACGCACACCCTTCCGATGGTGAATTTGGAAGGAGAATTCCTGCAACGTGTCCAGCCATCTCGCCAATTGTCCGGATGGCTGGTCCATCTTAAGAGCGTACTGCAAGGCCGCATGGTCCGTTCGGACAATAAACGACCGACCGTACAGATACGGTCGAAATTGGCGGAGAAAATACACAATAGCCAAAAGTTCCCTGCGAGTGACGCAGTAACGAGTTTCCGCGGGAGACAAAACCCGACTCCCGTACGCCACCACACGCTCAACACCACCTTTTGACTGGGACAACACCGCCCCAATCCCGGTGTCACTCGCATCAGTATCCAGAATGAAGGGATGTTCAAAATCCGGATAATCCAACGTCGGCGCAGTAGCCAGTAGGTCGCGCAGGCTCCGAAACGCCGCCTCCTCCGGCGGTCCCCACACAAATTTGTGCCCCTTCCCAGTAAGGAGATGCAAAGGCCTGGCGATAGTAGCGAAATTCGGAACAAACCTCCGGTAATATGAGGCGAACCCCAAAAACCGACGCACATCACCCACCGTGGCGGGGGTTGCCCAATCCCGGACACACGCAGTTTTCTCTGGATCCGTGGCCACCCCGTCCGCACTAACAATATGTCCCAAGTATCGAACGGAACGTTGCAGTAGATGACATTTCTTAGGCTTGAATTTCAAATTAGCAGAACGCATTCTGGCAAAAACGGCCTCCAACCGCAATAAATGCTCATCAAATGTGCGGCTGAAGACAATAATATCATCTAAATAAATGAGACATGTCTCCCACTGCAACCCCGTCAATACCAACTCCATCAATCTCTGAAAGGTGGCAGGGGCTGCATTCAACCCCATCGGCAGACAGTTAAATTGGAACAACCCCTGCGGCGTACGGAACGCTGTCTTTTCCCGCGAGGGCTCGTCAAGGGGAAGCTGCCAGAAGCCCGAAGAGAGATCTAGCGTTGAAAAAAACTTAGCCCCTGACAAGGCGTCGAGAGAATCGTCCATACGCGGCAGGGGATACGCATCTGCCACCGACACTTTATTTAACTTCCGAAAATCCACACAAAATCGTAATTTACCATCTTTCTTTTTAACCAACACGACAGGCGCACCCCACGGGCTATTAGACGGAGATATAATATCCGCTTTCAACATGTCTTCCACTGCCCCTCGAACGTGCTCACGCTCAGCCGGACTCATCCGAAGCGAGTTCAAGCGGATAGGGGCCGCGTCCCCCGTTTCGATGTGATGAGAGAGCAGCGAGGTGCGTCCCAAGTCCAAATCGTCCGAGCTAAACACATCGGAATAGCTCGCTAATAATTTATGAATCGCACAACGCTGCTCAGCGGAAAGGGCCGAATTTTCCGCACATAATTCGGCGATCCAACGATCGTCCACCCCTCCGTCGTGTGAAACACCACCCACCAGCCCCCCGTCCGGAATGTCACTCTGAGCCGTAAACGCCGTAGTGGCGTGTGCCACAACGGTACCAGCCGGCACACACACGCTTTCAGAAGTCGCATTTAACACCTGCAAAAACGGGCGCTGATCCGGACGGACAATGGTTTGCGCCCCCACCAGTGCCAATCCGCCCGTAACAGCGGCGGACGGCGACAGCAAAATTCCACAAGCACTCTGCCGACCCGGAACCGGCTTCCGGTATCGTAGGGGAATGAGCATCTGCGAGCCAGGTGGAATATCAACTGAAACTTCCGATAACGCCTGCACCTGGGCAACCGGAGCCGGTCGCCCCCAGGTGGACTGTAAA